TGATTTTTTGCCCAAAAGTTCAGTTTATGTACTCAATTTTGAACTTTGAAAATCTTTACTTTTATATCTTTACAGAACGTGGGGAAACTCCCATTGGTGCTTCACTACTTTGTGTTACGCTAATAGTTTAAACGAAATACTTCAATACGTTGTATTTCATTTCGTTTCCCCACATTCTATCGATAAAACATCGATGATGTTTAATCTCAAATCGATAGAGCTTCAAAGAAGCTCAATCTCAAATCAATATGAGACGTTGTCTCATATCTCATTCGATAAATAGCGAAGCTATTTATCTCAGGGCAAATTTTTACTAATTTTTTAATAATAAAAATCATGATGTTATCATGTAGTACAAATTTAATTAAATAACCTAATTAGCTTAATCATTGTTTGATAAATTTAGTAATATATTATTATTACATTTTTATTTAATTATAAAATGTGACGTTTTATAAAATTTTTAAAAAAATTTCGTAAAAATTTAATTTTTTTTTAACAAAACGTCATATTTTTTACTACGTATGTATTATTTAAGAAAAAATATATTATTTTTTTTTTTATTTAAATAATTTTAATTAGTTTTTATTCTTTAAAAAAATTTTCAATTTCGTATTGTTGTCTTTTTACAAGTTTATGAAATTCATTATATTTCGTTGATAAAATTTCATGTTGTTTTGATAATTTTCTATATTTATAATAAATATCATTTTCTCTTTCTTGATCTTGTTTCTTTTTCATCTCTAATATCATTTTTACTTCATCAAATATTCCGTAAGTTTTAACATCTATATCATCAAAATATTTTTTAAAATTATTTTCGTTCCAATAAAATAAATTAAAAATTCCTTTCTTTCTAAATTTTTTAAGATCTCCTTTCTCATCATCATCTAAATCCGGATCATGTAAAGCATCTTCAATCTTGTTTTCCAGAATATAATCACTATTTAAAAAATATTTAATTATATTATAATAATTAATAAAATAAATAATAAAAATCTTACTAATTTGTATTTTCGTATGTTGTTCTATTATTTATAATTCTTATTTCATCTTTGAACATTGTCATACATATAGGAACTTGAATATTACCAAAATATTTCTTAAAATTAGATTCATTCCATCTCATTGGATTGAAAACACCTCCTTTTTTAAGATCAGTCTTTTCTTCTTCATCTAGTTCTGGATCATCTAAAGCTTTCTTAATCTTTTCTTTTAAAATACGATCACTAAAAATAAAATAATAATTATTTTTAAATAATCATATAAAATAAAATAAATAAAATATTTACTAATTTATATCTGATGTATCTATTTTCATTTTTTTTTTTAATTTACATAATTCGAAAATCTTTATTTAAATAAAAAATATTTAATAAAATATGTTAAATAATGATTTTAAAAGTTAATTATTAAATTTTAGTTAGATGTAAAAAATTAATGATTATTTAATAATTTGTGACATATATTTTTTAATGATTTTAAGTCATAATAATTATTTTTTTTTTATTTTTATTACATGTTTTTAAAAAAGTCTTCTATATCAGAATGTTGTTTTTTCACAAAATATAATAAATATTCATATTTTTGTGATAATTTATTATATTTTTCTAAATAAACATTTGTTTTTCCTAATTCTTCTTTACTTTTATCTTGTATAATTTCTTTATCAAATTCAAGATTATTTCCGTCTTTAAAATTCGTATAATGAGTTCTCACATTTATATCACCAAAATATTTAAAAAAATTATCATGATTCCAAAATTTTGGATTAAATATTCCTTCACTATCTTTAATAAGATCATTTTTTTCTTGTTCATCCAATTCAGGATCATTTAAAGCTT